TTCTATATGCTACTAAACTATACACTTTCCATATTTTATTTTTTTTAAGTCCAAATCATTTTCAAGCTATGTAAAAAAACATTTCAGCTATCAAAAAATCAGAAACTATTATTCACTTCTTACATAACAAAAGGAATCCAGAATTATATTTGGTAAAACTGTATCTTAATGTTAACTTATTTTTAGACCACTTCAGTGAAAATGGGACTATTTTTGTCATACTGAATGAAAAAAAACCAAAAAACATCTCAATCAGACATAACCAGAACTTACAGACTAAGTCAGATACTTTTTCACATATGTCTTCCTTTCTGTGCTGTTATCTTTGTTACTATTTAAGAAATAAGATTCTGCCCTCTTCTGGCTCCAAAAATATTTACAAAAAACTTTCAGCAGAGCTGAAAAGCCTTGTTTTACTAGGCACTTAAATATGCTGGATGAATTCTTTAAGTCTAATTATGTTAGACTTACAAGTTCAGTTATGTGTTTCTCTGTCTCTCAACAAGTTCAGGATACTTTTAATATGTTTAATGACTTTTATCCTTTTGGTAAAAGTGTAGTTGGAAGAAGAAATTTAAAAAATTGTTTAAAATTTATTTCTTTGTTGGATATTATCTAGTCAACCAGCCCATATTCACAGATAAATAAGATAATGCTTCTGCTACAATTCTGATATCTGGTCTCTGAATTTATACCCAAGGTAAAATGGAAATACTTTCTGACACCTACTTAATAGATCTTGTGAGAATCGATGAAATACTATCTATATCTAATGAGTGCTTCAAACATTTTTGATAGGTACTACAAAATTAATATTTATAAACACAGAAAACTTTACTACTTGGTTTTTATCAAAAGAGGGGTGGGAAATATCCAGCTGGATTCAAGTTCACTGGCAGAGAAATGAAGAGATGGCCAAAAATGAAGAAATGAAGAGACTGTCCAAGTATGTAAGAGACAGAATCAATAAGACTTTGCAGCTAAGTGAATGTGGGGATAAGAACAAAACCCAAAGATAGCTTAGCAGTTGACAGGCTGCAGAAACATTTATTGAGATCAGAGACATTAGATGAAAAACAGGTTTCGGGGAGATATCTGAGTTTAGTTTTGGAAGGCAGCTATGCTCACCACTATACCACCACCACCACTTGAGTTTAGTTTTGTACATTCTGGGATATCTCAAAGACTACAGTTTTGACCTCAAAGGGTCCAGGAGGTTAAAACTGTTTTCATAATAATATTAATACATTATTTGTCTTTTCCACTTTCATTCGTCTATTAGTAGAGTTTTCCAGAGGCTACATGATGTATATCACAACAGATTTAAGGCAAAAGCAGATATACCAGCTGTCTTCTATTACCCAGACACTAATGAGATTTGCAAAAAAGTAAAACAGTCTCTTCTAACAATTTGCTTTTTAAAAAAAATAGTTGTTTTTCATAAAAATGTTATCCTTGTTACTATACGTTGGGTTTAATATTTTAAACCATTTCCAGTTTTAACTTCTAGTACAGCAATTACCAGTAGACACAAAGTGTTTTGGAGTCTTTAATAACTTTTAATAATATAATGGGGTCCTGAGTCCAAAAAGTTTGAGAACTGCTCTTCTTAGGCATTCAGGAAAAGATGTTGAGTAGGCAGTTGAATAGATGAATTTGCAGCTGAAGAGACAGGTTGTGTCCTCTTACATACATATTCTACATACTAGACAAATGATTTTTTTTTTTTTGTATTGTAAAGATCATGCTACTCTCCTACTTTAAAAACCCTTCAACGGTATCCCATTATTTATTTAAATTTTATGTTTGTAAGTATAACAAAAGTAAAATAAATAAAATAAACAATGCCTCAGGTTCTGCGCTAAGCATTTTACAAATATTAACTCATTTAATTCTATTATCAACCTAATTATCCCCATCCAAAAGATATGGAGATAAGTACACAGAAGAAAAGTAACTTGCCCAAGGTGACAAAGCTAGCAGTAACTGGCAAAGCTAGGATTTGAACCAAGGTCTCTGGCTCCAGTATCTGTGGTATTAACTACTGTTATGCTACAACTCTATTAGATTAAGAACAAAACCTGTTCTCCTTGCCATAGCTTTAAGGGCCCATATTTTGAAACTCATCTTGCACATCTCCTCCCCTCATGCTCTAAGCTGGCCTTCTTCCTATTCCTCAAACAATCCAGGCTTAGTCCCACTTCTGTGCCTTTGCAGGTGACCCCTGGACACAATTCCCACAGCTCTTCACATTGCTGGCTTCTCTTCTCACAGATCTCCATTTAAATGTTAGTTACCTCCTCAAAAAGGTCTTTCTTAACCACCCTATGTGCAGTGGCACCTGTCCTGCCATGCCACCCACACTGCCACATTCACTATGACACCTTCCTTTTTATTAATTTTATTATGCTCAGCATTAAGAAAAATGATCCTGTTCATTTATTTGTTAACTCCTCTAGAATGGAGCTCCTTGAGGAGTTTGTTTGTCTTGTTCAGCGCAAGGATAATAATAATCTTAGGAATATAGAGGGTATTCAGTAAGTTGCTGATGAACTAATTAATAAGAACTTAACATATTAAAACCATTTTGTATCAAGATGAGATAGATACAAACAATATGCCCTCCATTAAATTTTTGCTGAATGGATGAACATATGAAAATTCTGAGTAGCAAAGATTATGCTGGTTCATCACCACTATTAACAAATATTTATTCAGTACTACAAGGTACAGTGCTGTGCTAAGCACAGGTAATATGAAAATTGCTACTACATGGTTTCTGCCTTGGAAAGTTTACAATGTAGCTTGGATTGTGGTAGTTCTGAAACAGTCACAATGAGTATTAGAAGTTCCTAAAGGAATTTATCCCATAGCCTAAAATTAGATTATAATATCCTAACTTAATCATTAAGGTTTTGAATGCTAAAATTATGAAATTAACTTCAAAATAGATGTTGAAGCTATTCACACAGTCTTTCTCCCCTACCACACTTAAACAGAGACCAGACACTGCTTCACTCAAAGCACTCTTGGCTGCTGCTGCTGTCCGTTAGTCCACTCTCTCAAACCTGTAAGTCTATCTCCTGCTCCCAAATGTTACTTTCTGATTACTACTCTCCCATATTCTTCATCAAAATTATTCATTTCTATTAATATTAACATACATTATGCCAATCTTATAAACTTGGGAGTAATCTCTCTCTTACCAGATAAAATTTGAATTCTTTAACTTAGCATCTAAGACCTTCCCCAATATGGCCGAAAATCACCTTTCCAGCATTTTCTTATCAGCCTGATTTTTATTTTGTAAACTACAACTGTACTGATTCTACTCTAGGCTCAACTTAAGCTAATATCCAAATATGCAACAGACTTTTTAACCTCTATACTTCTGTTCAATACCTCTTTTAGGAATAACCTCATCCATATATATCCCTATTTAAAATTTCACCTATCCTTTAGGTTCCATATCAAATCTCACTTCTCTGTTATGCCTAATGTGTTGATCTCAGCTAGAAGTGACTTTATTTCCCTTTGTGTTCATAGCATTTCATATGAGAAAATTAGCTAATATCTATCATTTGCCTGTTGCTATAATTATCTGGGTAAGTACATTTTTTGAAGCTTTCACAGCATTTATCACAGTGTCAAATAGTACCCATCTTTGCTAGATAATGAAAAACTAGTTGTATCCATCATAATCCTGACAGGAAACTGGAAATCACTCTAGGTCTTCAAATAGAGGTAACCCAGTGATTAGCAGCAACATGAAGTTCCTATCTCTCCTGGGTAGGGAAGCAACAGAAGAAGGTCGTGCTACCGGGAACCTAAAAACTGGGGTTGTCCAGTGAACTAGAACCACAGCGGGGACTGCCCAAAGGGAGCTGGAGAGAAGGGCTATCTGGTGGGAGATGGAACCATAAAAACATGCAACTACTGCCAGAGAAAATAAAAGAAGCCTAGGGAAAGAGAGAGAGAGAAGGAGGAGAAGGAGAAGGAGAGAACAAGAACATGAACTACCCTGGCACCCCCCAACTCCCACCCACCAATCATCTGCTAGCGCCCCCTAGTAGCTAAATCTATGGAAGCAAAATGGAAAGGAAGCCTTCAATATAAAGCTGAGTGGAAAAAGACAGGGAATGGCTGGCACAACAATTATTTACACTGTTAAAGGTTATTTTCCTGTGTATGCTATATCTTTTAACCATGCCTAAAAATGATCAAATCATAAAATGTTAAGAACACACACTGTCAAACTTAGGTTGTCTGTTGGAACACTACATACTTTTAAAATGCCTAGCATTTGAACATTCTGTTTGTGGGAGAATCCCAATGAAATTGAGAAACCACAGAAAACAAAATAGGATGGCTTCTAACCACAAAAACACAATAGGATGGATTCTAACCACAGAAAACAAACAGGATGGATATCCCTTCTTCCAAGCTGAAAGCTAAAGTGCAGGTCTGTGATTTAAAATGAAAGCTCCTGTCTAGGACACTGAATCTAGAAAGTAGTGATACACAGAATATTCATAATGGCTAATGACAGTTCAACAGTATGGCACTAAAACTGACAGTTCAACAGTATTACACTAGAATCAGAGGCTACAGAATCCAGCAACATGGCAGTGCCTGCACTAACAGGCGCACGCTTCTAAGTAGATTGTTTTGTGACAGGATACTGGTTTGCTTTGCTTCCTCTTCTTTCTGCCATATTTTGAAACTGGTTCTTCAGTCTCCTACAGTTTTGTGAATTCCTTTATTCCTAGTTAGTTCTGTTCTTTGCAACCAAGGACTCCAATTAATATAAGCTATAACTGATATAAGCCAAGAAATTCAAGTTCTAACAATGTCATGTGCCTTGAATTCTCTGATATGTTCTTATTTGATATTAGAACATTACAGTGAAACATTATTACATTGTATACAAAGGTATTATTTATTAATTTTATACACTGATCACTGAGACTAGTTAAGCTGTCAAAAACTGACATGGGTACCTTTTCCAAGGTGAGAAGATTTATTTCAGACTGTAGACGAATTTCTGGTTTGTTGCTTTGCTGATCCTTGAACTGCTGGAACTCTTTTTCCAAAATCTTATACTTATTTTCAGCATCATTAAGCTGTATTAAGAAAAAGTACCTATAGTCATTTTAAAAGAATGATATGCAAAGTTTAATATTAAAATTCAATTCAAGTGTCATTTTTTTTCTTATTCTAAAGTATATTAATAGTAGAAAATTTAGGAAATACATAAAGCATGAGGAAAATAAAGATATCTAGTAATTAAAAACTCAGTAAATCAACTGATTAACAATACACAAAAACTTTTGAATAGTATAAAGATTTCTTATAAAACCAGTACAATGAGGACGTTTTTGTTAAATTTTAGATGGCAAATGAAAAGGTCACCTGATAGAAATACTGATACTTTCTTTACACTTTTCTTAAGATGTCACATGAAAGAAAAGATTGAGCATTATAGATATACCAGATTATCCATGAAAATAAAAATAAACTCAATTTTAATGTAGTACTTATTATAGTTTGATACTGTATGAATATTACAGATTCAAATACTATTACAACTTAAGGCAATTTAAAGATTATTTGGTCCAATTCTTTCATATTTATAGGTAAGAAAATTCAAAGTCAAAGAACTAACTGAGGCAGTGCCAAAGAGCTAGTGAGCCAAGCAGTAGCAGGGGCAAAAATAGAGTTCAGATCTTTTCATTCCTTAGAAAAATGCTCTAAATCAAAGCAGTCAATACTTCCTAAAGAAAAAAATAAAAACTAAAAACGAGGCTGTCTTGATTAGACACTCTGTAATTTCCTTACAACAGTTTCAAATTTTTCTTTAAAAAAGTAGGGTATAAAGATTTTTTTTCTTCAATCTGGGATTTTTAAAAAATCAAATGCAAGAATAGATTATATATCAATATGCTTTCCCAAAAGATATACTGATATGACTATTATTAGGTAAACTAGTTATCTCTCTCCTAAGATGTAAAACTTAACTAAATTTGAAATACTGAGAAAATTTGTGGCAAAAATAAAACAAATCATTAATAATAAATAATTCTAATTAGGATTTATCTAGCATCTTTAGATAATGAGGTATGTTTCCATGTAACTGAAGTTTACCTTTTTTAACATCCAAAGTTGAATAGAAACCTTTCTAAAGTATCTCTCTAACTTTCATGTTTTAGACAAAAGCTAGTAAACTTAATATTACATTTGGTAGTTTCTTTACCATTCAGGGACATCATCATAAACAATTATTGTTGTTACAATCAGGTTGTAAAGCAGTAAGCTATTCAGGCATGCTGAACTCTTTATCCTTTGAGAAGTGGACCATAAACTACATTGATTTTAAATTCTTGTATCTGCTTTTATCTGTTTGAGTATAGATACTTTATCTTCATCAGCTCTCACTGACAGTGTGTTTAACTGTCCCTTCTACCCCTCAGGATAGAATTGCGTGAATAATGCACATAACCTGGTCAGAGTAAGGGCCTAAAAACTGTTCCTATACCAAAATGTGAAATGTACACAGTCACGGACTTAGCAATTTGAGCATCTTGGAAAATTTCCCTCACCCTCCGGCCCCCATTTTTTCTGCAGGTATTAGAACAGTGGTTTAAGAACAGGGGTGTTTCCTAGGTAATTTTTTCAAAATACCAGTTCTTCTCACCAAGGTTCTTGCTATGAAGATGTAAGCTAATTTATACCAGTCTAGGACATGACACAGAGGTGTATTTTTCAAGAGTGGCCCCTGGTGATTCTAATACTTGTTAAGAGCTGAATCTTCCTGATAAGTGGAAGAGAAGCATTACTAGTAAATCCCATCACAATTGCCCACTTTTATAACTTTATCTTTCATATTTAAAATGAGACTCCCACAGTAACAATAAAATTCACATTTACAACCACATAAATAATGTGACCATAACTGACCCTGAACTACTAAGGAAACTGTTCTTCTTGATAGAATTTATCGAAGACTTTGGAGGAATTCATCATATGTATCTAATCTACATGAAAAATTTTCAAGAAAGATAAGCTAATTTTTAACGGCTCGATCATTCTATTTTTCAGCAAATATTTATTTAGTCCCTATTATGCGCTGACAAGTGGGCTGGGCTCCAGGCACATAGCTATAAACGAAAGTAGTTTTCATGGAGCAAACAATCTGACAGAAAATAAAAACAAACATAGAACACATCATAAAGAAAAAGAACAGGAGAATAATGTTCCATGAAAACATAAAACAAAAAGTTGACCTAGACTTAGGAAGCAGGGGTCAGGGAAGATTTACTGGGGTAAGCAATGCTTTAGCTGAAAACTGAAGGATGAACAGAGTTCACTGGGCCCAGAAACAGCAGCACACATGAAGATCCCGTGAGTGAAGTGAGTCTGGCATGCCTGAGGACTTCACAGAAGACCAGTGTGGCTGGAGAGTACACAGCAGAGATGAAAGTGAGGAAAATGAGGTCAGACAGAGAGGCTGGGTCCAAACTATGCAGAGGCTTATAGGCCAAGATAACGATTCTGATATTCCTCCTATAAGCAGTGAGAAGACACTAAAAGATTTTAAAGAGGAGGGTGTCATGATTCCCAAACTTCAAAAATATTCTTGCTGCAACACGAGGAGCAGATTAAAGGAGCCCATCACTGAAACAGAGAACACTTACAGGAAGAAGGTCAGGTGTAGATAGGAGGATCATGTTGGGTTTAAAATGCCTTAACACATCAAATGTCAAAAAGAAAATCAGATATATGGGTCTAGAGTGCAAAGGTAAGGTCTTGGATATAAATGTGAAAGTCCCAAACGTACAGATTGTTTTTGGAGTCATGGGCATGGATAAAATCGCTTTCTAGAAAGTAAGCCTTAAGCCTGGAGAAGTCCAACATTTAATTGCAAGATAAAGGAAGACAGCCTGCAAAAGAGCCTGAGGGGTGGCCGTAAGGTAGAGGAAAACAAGGAGAGTGGTTGTAGAGAAGTTGAGAATATACAAAAACAAGAACGATAGTGCTGATGATGTTAATAAGTTTTAAAAAGATGAGGAATGAAAAATGCCTACTGAACTTAGTGACTTAGCCCTTGGTGGCTTCTTTAACAATTGGCTGGCTGAAGCAACAGGGACAGAAAGCAGAGTGGGATGGGTTGAGAATGAATGTGAAGTGAGGAAGTGGAGAGGAGCACTGACAATTTTGTCATGAAATTCGGTTCTTCACTGAATTTGGTCCATTGCTACATGAAGATATCTATGTTTGCTAAAAGGAGACTTATAAAAAACATTTTATGTTGGAAGTCACTTGAAATACAGTACAATTTCATGCAAATAGCTATGAGAGCAGAAAATTATTCCGATACAGCTTTTAGCTTTAACTTAGGAAAAAGAAGATCCAACTTAAAGTTTATTTGACTCTTAATGCAATACATATAGTGCAAATTACTGTAAATTTTATCACTTTTTAGTGAACTATTTCTATTATTTCTAGAATGCAAATAAACTCTAAGGGTAAAAAGATGACAAATATTTTATCTAACCTGCTTCTGCAGTCGGTGTTTATCCTCTTCTAGCTGCTTGATCTTTAACCTTTCCAGTTCTATATGGTGAACACAGTCTTCCTTGGCCCTACGGATAGAGTCCTGAAGTTCTTGCAGGTTCCGTTCACGTTCTGATTGCAGTTCCTTTTTTTCTCGTTGAAGCTATAAACAAAGGCATCTTTAAGAGGCTGGCCTATTACTACCCGTTCAGTATTCTATTGTCCTTATATTTATTTTCACATCATTTTTAGTCATTAGAGAGTTAATGTTCAAGTGTACTGATAATAAAAATTTTAAATCATTATCATTTGATACTAATATACAAATATATACAAAATTCCATATATAACCTGTATAAATTCAGTTGAAAAGGCCCTAACCACTTAAAATTCCTATTTGAATAAAGCCCCTTTTATTATATAAATAAATAAGCCCACATTTCTTTTCTTCTTTTAGAAACTTTTGATTCTCTACCGAATCACATAGAAGGCAATAGAGCCTCAGTATTAGAAACAAATCTATAATCATTTAGATATCCTAGAAAATTAATAACAATAAGGTTAGGGTGATTTGCTAAGAAAATTTTAAGAAACATCTTTTGAATAGGGAAGGGGCATATAAATTTAAAGTGGAAGTAATTCTAATTATCTTTTGAAGTGATTTCTATAGAAATTTTAAAAAAACCTTTAGGGTAAGATTTAGTAAAACCTAATAAAAATGCTAACTAGGCATAATACTAAAATAAGTTCTCACCCTTCTTGGGATCTAATCTTTAATGGGCAAGAAAGAGAAAAAAATTCCCTTCTCCCTGAAAACAAAATCAGGATTCTATGCCCCTGAGCCCATGGAACATTATCTCTTCTCCCATTCCTTCCACATAATAGGAAAGTTAACAAAAACTTCCACTATTGTAGAAGTCAGCCAAACCTGGCTGAATGATAGTTAACAATTTCAAATAACACTTTTCTACTTATTCTTAACATTCTAACATGTAAAACACACTTTACTCCATAAAGTCTGAAAGATAATTTCCATGAAATACATTTGTATAGAGCAAAAAGAAATAAATAATATAAACTTAATATATGGATTCTTTGTGAAATAAGGATCTATGACAGATAAATGTAGTACCTCTGATTCTGCACTGGCAAGCTGCTGCTCTCGCTTCTCTAAGTCAATTAGGGTTTTTTGAAGTTTTCCTTCTAGGATAGTATATTCAGCCACCTAAAATATAGTAAAAGAAAAGTTACCTTAACTTCTCCCCAAATTCAAAACACACACAAATTTTAAAATACCTATCATTTCACTGGAACAGAGGATCTGACAATAGAAAAGTCACAAATTATACCCACCAATTCAAAGCAGGAATTCTTTCTACTATACTCTGGGGAAGGAAGCCCATCTAGCTTCTGCTTAGATATCTCTAGTGATGATATTCAGTCTCCCGAGGAAGCCCATTCTCCTACTGGGCAATCAGACTGCTAGTAAAATCTTGTGCTCCTTAAAATCTGCCTTACTCAATGTTCCAGTATCCCTTTGAAGCCCTCTCATTCACTTATACTCTTTTTCCTTGGAACTAATCCTGTTGTTAGATCAGCTAGTCAATTACAAGTCAGCACTCTTATCAGTTCAGGTCTGACCTTTTACTCCAGTTCCAGTAATCAAGTGCCTCCTTGGGTCCCTAGCCTACTACCCCAATTCTTCAGGCCTAAAGTCCTGGTCTGCTCTGTCTTTAAGGAAATGAGTCCTATTCAGAATAAGGCCTACCTGCACAGCCTGTACTGGATGCAGGACTTTCCTGGTTTCTATCTTTCAATTTAGACTGATCATTTTTATTAGGACTTCCTGAACTAATTTTTCTACCCTCTTCAATTAGTCTCCAGGTCACAGACCCAATTCTACACTTCTCTTTCCTACTGCCAGTAAAGCTCTGGTTTGATGTTCCTTAGAAGTCCACCCTTTAATCCTATTTCTACCCTTGGACAGAGAGGAAAAAAATGTATCTTCACATTTTGACACTGGTCATGGTGATGGCCATCATGTCTCCTCCTAGTCTTTTTTTCTTCCCCAAGATAAACACAAGTTTCAAATATTATTCACATATTATGATTTCCACATCCTCTAATATCTTGGATTTAATCTAGGTCCGAGATTAAATCCTTTCCAAAATATGATACTCAAACGTGATCTTACTAGCTCAGAGACCAAAGTCTGTGTACTGCTAAAGACTAGGACAACCCATGTCTATTAACTTAGTCTAAAATTACATTTGTTATTTAAGGATCCTAGTCACACTATTTGTTAATGTCTCTCAGGGAACCACGGCTGAAAAAGTTTACAGGATCTAGTCTAAACTTATAATGGAATTCAAAGATTGTTCACACTCTGGCCAATCAGCTCCTCCTTATCTTATTTCTTGAGACATGACCTTCCCTCCCTCTACCCACATCAAACTACATACAATTTTCTTTATAGACTATTTCAAACTTCTCTGCCTTTGCTCAAGTGGCTTTCTATGTTTGAATGCCCTTTGGGTCCAAATGACAATATCTACTAATCTTCCCCAAAGTGAGAGCATGATCTTATCTGTGAAACACTTCCTCATGCTCCCTTATGTAGAACTGATGTCTTCCTTCTTTGTGGGTACATGATAGCTATCTTCAGCTACCTGATGGGCAGTCATATGGAAGACAGAATAAACATTATCTCAGCTGCCCCAGAGGGCAGAACAGAAACCAGGTGTGTGTGTGTGTGCACGTATGTGTGTGTGTGTGCACATATGTGTGTGTGTGGGTACTCCTTCCTGTAAACTTTCAAAGTATGAAAGAAGTTATACGTTGTTTTAAAAAACTTCAAGTGAATAAAATAAAAATAAATTAACATAAAAGGCCCATACATAATGGGCATAAAAAAATACTATAACTCAAATCTACCTTTACAATATGACTAATTCAAATAAACAGCTCCATCACTTATTAGGCCAACATCATATTGTGTTTTCTGACTGGAGTTATTAACTAGTGTGGATCCCATAAGTTCAAGCTGAAGTGACAGAAGATGTACACATGGAAACCAATTAAAAATTTTAACTGAAAAGATCATTACTACCAAAATGACAATAAGCCAAAAATTACTTGATGAGTTTTTTTTCCACATCAGAAAATTCAATTATAGCACAAGTTGGATTTGCCACAGTTCTAGTAATTCAGTAATTTTATTAACTTTTAAAACTTTGCTGTGATTTGCATTTTGCAAGCTTCAACAATGAAAAACTCTTCTTTAACAGCATGAGAAAAAAAAAAATGATTCCAGGATAAACTCAACTTGTCTTAAAGGATAAATGAAAGATTCAAAGAATTTGAATATTTTCCACCCTCCTCAGATTCAATTAATACATAATGTGCAAGATTCAATATATAATATGCAAAAAATTAAAATATTTTCCACCTCCCTCAGATTCAATTAATATGTAATGTGTAAATATTACTTAATATAAAGCTTACTTGTAAGTAATAGCACAACTTGTATGTTTAAATACATGTGCAGGCTAATTATCTAGTTATTAAAATTTTGGTTATTATCTGAACATTTCTTAAGAATAGAGGCTTTGAAGTAGTCTCGTTATTTTTTTCTTTTAGCTTTTTAAAAAATATCCCTGGTTATTCAAGTTTTTAATGGTTGAAAATTAAGTTAGACAAAGCTGAAATAGTTATTTTAAAGTCAAAGGCCAGGGGGACTTCTGCTTCCACCTGTAAAAGACAAACTGCCCTCCTCTATAAACATGAATTGAACAAACATACATGAAACAACTGTTTTCAGATACTGGGCAATAGGCAGCACAGGACTATGATCCTTAAGAGACAGGAAATAAATGAGGCAAGCCCTACACTAACTCTAGCTTACTGCCTGGACATGGTTTCCAGACTGTGGCTTGAGGAAGGGGAACACAACCAGAGCCTAGCAATCTTGCTGAGTTGAGAAAACAGGCTGGAGAGGCTGAGGCAACTAAAATTTGTTGACTGGAGGGAGATGCAAAGACAGTGAGCACTGGAGACTGGCAGCCCCCGCACATCTGAGGCTGAATACCAATTAACCACCACTAATGAGAGTATATTTAAAGTCCTAAAACTGGAATATCTGAAGACAATCTGTCAGGGCTGTTTTATTCAATAACTTGAGTATAAATGGATAAATATAGCATTTCTGCTTTCCAGAATAAGAATGGATGGTCTCATGTTATCATTTTTAAAGATGTGATTTATTTCATAATTTAATTCTTAAAAATAGCTTAAAAGTTTTTGAGGCTTTTTATTAACTTGAATAGTATAATGTAATTTTTATATATACTGAAATGTGCTATTTTCATTTTCATCCGAAGGTAGACTTTTTCTCTAGAGTATTCATTTTTTATATTTACAAGTACATATTTTTGAATAGGTAATATATTTGCATGTTTCAAAATCCAAAATGTACAAAACACCTTACAGTGAAAGGCCTCCCTCCTACCCTAACCCATGCATTCATTTCTTCCATGCCACTATATAACCACTATAATTAGTTTGTTATTCCTTCCAGAGATTTTTTTTAATGCATATACAAGATACTACCATTAATATTCTTCCTCCCCTCCCTCAATTTTTACACAAGTTACTACCTTTTTCTTTACTATTGATTCTCTCTCACGGTCCCTTTTCTTCCATTCCTCAGCAAGAGCTTGCATATGAGCCAGTTCTTTCTGCTTTAGCTAAGAAAGGAAGAAAAAAAAAGTCACACACACACAAAACCCCACAAATTTCAAATAAATCAGTTGTTTTCAGTTAAAGAACTAATACCGATCACTACGTTTTTCTTTTCTTTTTTTTTGTTGTTGTTGTGTAAGCTTTTATTAAGTTTTCTTTTTCAAATTTATGTTTATAGGATATGAGTCCTCTCTTTAATTTTCAGTTGTGGTGAAACATAAAATTTACCACTTTAACCATTTCTAAGTATACGGGTCAACAGCATTAAGTACATTCACATTGTTGGGGACCAGTCTCCAGGCTTTTTTTTTTTTTTTTTTTTTTTTCAAAAAAACAAATTTTTTTTTTTTTTTTTTTTTGAAAATAAAACATTTTTTTTTTTTTTTTTTTTTGAAAATAAAACATTTTTTTTTTTTTTTTTTTTTGCAGATGACAATTTTATTTATTTTTATTTAATTTTTAATTTATCAATATACAATGTAGTTGATTTTCATGTTCCTTTACTAATTCCTTCTTTTCGTCCCTTCCTCTACCCACCCCCTCCATCAACATTGCAACTCTTAACAAGTTCAAGAAACTATTGTGATTGTTGTGTCTTTTTTTTCCCCTCCATTTATATGTTTGTATATTCTTTATTTATTTCTATTAGCTCCCACATATAAGTGAGAATGTGCGGTATTTCTCTTTCTGTACCTGGCTTATTTCACTTAATAATTTCTTCAGGCATTCTATTTTTTATTTTTATTTTTTTAAAGATGACCGGTAAAGGGATCTTAACCCTTGACTTGGTGTTGTCAGCACCACGCTCAGCCAGTGAGCGAACTGGCCATCCCTATATGGAATCTGAACCCGGGGCCTTGGTGTTATCAGCACCGCACTCTCCCGAGTGAGCCACGAGCCGGCCCCAGGCATTCTATTTTATTTTAAAAAAATAATAATAAAGGATGCCTGAGGGAATTAATACCTATATGAGTACAATTCAGGAGAGTATAAAGCTAATAGTGAGTTCTATATTCTAACTCTCTTGTTTGGAGACTGATGATGCCACTCCAGGAGGGTAAACTGAATGAGGGCCTGAAATTAAAAGAGTAACTTTCATTCCTAATTTTGCCCAACAATCATGGACAAAATTTAGGGAATTCTTCTGAGTGGCTTCTGCCAAGCTGTCATATTTCAAGTTCTTTTTCATTCTCAATTTTTCTTTAAAAGTAAGGCATTGTTGACTTTCAAAGAAACTAGATAGGGTGCCCACGGAACATAGAAACTCTGCTATGGAGAAGAAAAAATACACTAAGTAGACAAAAATAGACTTTTAAAGTAACATTTAAAAAGTAACCTGATTTTCAAAAATGTCTTCTTGCATCTCCTTCCACATTTCTAGCTCAAGTGCTGCCTTGTATTCTAAGGTTTCACGAGGCTCTGTCTGGATTTCTGAAGGACAAGGTGCTGGAGGAAGAGAAGATGGCTTTTGTTGTACAGCAGATAAACCCTAAGTTATGAATAAAAAAGCTCAATTAAACAAACACACTTATAACTCATACACATACACACATTAGACCCCTTCCCTTTTAAAGAATAATTTGATAACATTCAATTACATTTACCTGAAATGAATCAGAGACAAAAATCTCACGCATTTTTACTAGTCCATAATCTTCTAGAGTCACTGTGTAAGAAAGATCTGCAATCCTGTTATTTGACCTACAAATAAAAAATATCTTAAAATTCATGAAAACGCTTTTTATTTTTTATTTTTATTTTATTTCCACAGTGCTTAGGCACTGAGGAGTAATCAATATTTCTTGCACCTGACACTCTTGCTACTCAAACTGCAGCAGCTTCTATAGGCTCCATGACCTTCCATACACAATTTTATCTGATCATCACAAACACCCTAAGTACGTACCTACATTTATTACAAAATGACTTATAATAGCTGTACATTTTTTGTAAAAACTTAAAAGCATAAAGGTGAAATTTAAAATCTTACTGTACACAGGTAATTAGTCAGTTTATTTCCTTCCTCTCTGTTTAATTTATATGTAGATACATGTGCATGCATGCACATTTTACCATCATACAATTTTGTCCTATTATATACATCAGGAGCATTTTCTCAATCATAAAAAATTAACTCAAAAATTTAGTTTTTACTGTCTGTAAAATATACTATTGAATTTATGTAGTAAAATATACTTAATTCTCCAAACTCTTGATTATATAGGTTATTAGGAATTCTTTTTGTCTGCTTTTCCTGGGATGAACGTACTCATACATAAATCTTTTACAGGATATAAGAATTGCCTTGGGATAATTCCTAGAAGTAGGATAATTATGTTGTTTTGATAATTATATTGTTTTGATCATAAGTAGCACCTTTCTGTATCATAGTACTGCATGAGGCATTAATCATTAAATAAATAAAAACAAGACAAAATATTAGATAAAAATAAAATCTTAGCAACAAAAAAACATGGTTTTTTTTTCTAAATCAAATATATTCTGGTCAAACAAAACTTTAATGAATAAATCTCACATAATTAGGACTCTTAACTAAGTTTTACATTTTCTTCTCCTAATCTCACAGATTTTAGAAGAAATGAATAAAGCACCAGTAGAAGCACTACTATATCTGAGAGAAATTCCTGAGCACATCTGAAGTTCTCACTTAGGTAAATCTCCTAAAACTTCTCTGTTTACACAGCAGGGCAATAAAAATTAATATTCATATGAGATAGCTTCAATTATTAATGACTAAATTATATCCTGCTTAAGACGTCAGAAAAGAATGCCAATTTTTAAGAGAGATTTTTCAATAGCAGGAGTTGAAACAAAAAGAATTTTCTGTTAACCAAATATTTGATTCTCTAAGACACCTGCTCCCAGATCTTCCAAGTGAATAGAAGTAAAACTTCCAAGTTTCATGAAATCCTTCAGTCTCTGGAAGTGGCCATGGATGGGGAAGAGTAAGGGAATAAATTTCAATAATATTTTTAGATCTCAGATTTTTACTTAGCCTTACTGACTTCCTTCTACAGTCTGACTATGTCTTAGAAATAAAAGTATATGATACATAATGAGAAGACAAATTTAAATTTTTATTGTTAATTTTTTTTTTTTTTAAAGATGACCGGTAAGGGGATCTTAACCCTTGACTTGGTGTTGTCAGCATCACGCTCAGCCAGTGAGCGAAACAGCCATCCCTATATGGGATCCGAACCCGGGGCCTTGGTGTTATCAGTACCGCACTCTCCCCAGTGAGCCACGGGCCGGCCCAATTTATTGTTAATTTTTAAAAGATAATTCAATAACTTCATTTAAAATATGTGAAAAACTCAAGTTTTTCACTGTAGCAATCAGGTTCAAGGCAAAAAAGTACTTTAAAAACTGCCTCTGACTGCTGAATGTTTGTAACATTCTCAGACTTTACATTTGAGGCAGAAGTTAAAATATTTTTCAAGTAGTAAAATAGTCACAGCCATTCCCAATGCAAAATAATGTAAAAATAATTATAAATTTAACCTTGAATCACAAAATAAAAAAAAAAAAAAACAGGTCCTAAACTTAAAATTGTCAAGCTAAAAAGAGGGGAGGGAAAATACTTAACACTTACTGTAGTAGCAAAGATTCTTTACTTATGTGAAGGAAAATGGGTATGAAAAGCTAAAGAGCAAACTGGGATATAGCCCCACAGGTCGAAGAACAAAGATCAGAATAAAGAGAATATAAAAAGAAAAGGTCGTGGCTAATCAGAATTATTACATGAATAAAAAGCAAAGCAAAGACCAACTCTGTGAAATGCATTACCCTTGTGCTGCTATAACAGGCACATTTTCACTGTAAGTTTGGCGCCAACACTGTTCACCATTAGAACCTAAAAAGCGAGTTTTTTCTGAAGACAAGATATTAGAAAGCTGGATTCTCGCAATTCCCAGAAGTAAATCTTTACTCATTTTATCTTTGTGCCATAATTCAACCAGCAATGGAATCCTAAGGAAGAGAGAAACATGTATTCACACCTATCAACTCTGAACCAAAAATCTTTGAATTCCTTTAATGTTGCCAAAGATGTTTTTGTCACCTGGAATGTCATCTAACACAATTGTTAGATTAAATGCCCAATTCCATAGGTAACAGATATGAAGTACATTATATTTTCCATACCTCTTTCTGCTCAATAAAGAAAACCCTTCACACTATTAATCACACAAATGGTTAGATAATTTTTAGTTACCCCTCATTCTTCCTTTTAAAATAATATACAAACTTAAATTGTGATACTCTGAGAAAGTAAAAGATGTTTCAGAGAGCTCATTTTTCTTCACAAATCCATTTCAGATAGTAGGATTAATACCTCTGTTTTACAGATTAAAAACAAAAAATAGACAAAGCAAATAATAGAATATAGTCATTCTGTGAATCAACAATAAAAAATAATTATTTATCTTCATATAATATATTAGAAAAAGGCAAGACCACTTTTTAAAGCTCTCTCACTATTCATAAATTATTTTAACAAAGTTCAAATATCTAAACTCAGGTAAATAAGGCATGAAAAATTTAAAACAGCCTTTATAATAAACCATGTAAAATTGTAGCAGAAACACAAATGACATAGGCATTATTAGTATATATTTTTTTGATTCTCAAACATATAAACTGCTGTGGGATTCCCTTTTAATAAGACACAAATTGTCAAGAGTTGACTTAAGAAAATAATTAATACCATATACACATTACCGTAAGAAGGTATCCTGCAGCTGATGAGGCATAGTTGCAAAATCAAATGCACAGTAAGATTGAGGAAGAAAAACTTCCATGTTTTTCCTAATCTCTACAGGAGGATTTGTCATAATAGGAGCTGCACTTCCAAAAAATGGATATGAGTACCTAGAATTTAAGAAAAACAAAGTTAGTTTACAGATGAGATTTAAAATCTACTTTTTAAAAAAGTGTAATATGAATATTATGAGTAAATAGAATTTTTTAAATAGAAAAATGGTAGAAATACCAAGCTGCCATTTATTTGAGGGCACCTTGAAGGCATGCGTCCTGTCTTTTTCATCTTTGCACTCTTAGGAACAAACAAGCAGTTTCTTCCATACAGTAAACACTCAAGAAATGTTTGCTAAATTTAATTTCTAAACCTAGTTTCCTCTATAAAATAGTGTCCTGATCTTTTATAGGCTAAAAAGCCCTTAGTCAACTCCAAAAGGATGCATTCGTGGTAATCTGTCTTTGAACAGAGAATCAAGATGAAAGCAAATCAAATGTACATACAGCATTATGGATAAATCAAAGAGTGACATAACACTATTTTTTCCTTTCATCACAAAAACCACACAAGATTAAATGGAAGAATGCCTGACTACTGCTTTAAATACTTTGTATTTAAAGCCAAATATAAAGATATTATAATGGTCACTTAAATTTCATCCTGTATCTTGTTATTCATACACAAAAACTAAAATTTGCACCCTATTAATAAAAATTGCTTTTCCCACAAGAAGAATCCTGTGCCTTTACCTAATTCCTATGTGATTATATATCCACTGAAATCAAGTCATTTCAGAGGAAGTTCATGCCCTACAATTTCTACTTCCTATCAACCCATTATGGATCTAGTGATTAAAAGAAAAAAAAAATCAAAGAAAGTCCTACAGATTAAATTTTTCAACTACCAGTGTTACCTCACAAATTCCATTATACAATTCTACAATTCTACAATTTCATACCAGTGCAGAGCATAACATAAAATTCACCAAACTGAGAAAAAGTTAAATGGCCACCAGCACTTCAAAAAATGCCTTAAAATGATTCAAAGATAGAATCAGTAGTTGAGTGAATTCTAAGTAGAGTGTAACTGTTTATTTTCTACATTTAGAATATTATTTCCCCCTTTCTTTGCCAGATGAAATACTATTCTGCCTCATACATTAACTTATTTCTGAATCTGTCTTTCTTACTAAGTTCAGCTCTTTGTTTAAGTGGCTCATGGACTCCTAATACCAGGCATGTTGTTGGTATAACACAGGCACTTAATGATTAAACAAATGGTTCTTATGTCATGAAGTAAACACAAAAACTAATATTAGTGCTTTCTAAGTGGCCCTGTACAAGGATTCCCCCTCACAGCATCTAATTTTAAATTGTCCCTATGTTTCTATGCTTCTGGCCAATATCCTCTCGAGGTATCCTAAGATCAGAATCTCTAGTAGCAGCAGAAGAGAGATCTCAGTTAAAAGACAAAAACTGAAGTAGAGAATAAGTAATAATTCATTTCTCAAAGCAATTTTGAGTTGTTATACAAACCCTTTGAGAACAGCTATGTCTGCAAGAGAAAACTTTAAGTACTCAATTTTCAAATAAAAACAACATTTTAGTAATGATTCTCAGCATCTCAGCATTCAGTAATAATTCTCAACATGAAGTAAACTATAGAACTTAAGCTGAGATGGAAAGACTTTCATTCTATGGATTCACAATCACACTCAGTGCTGGGCCTCTTTGATTCTGTCCATTATTCAAATCAAAGCATGAAGGATTTTAGAAACTTGATAAGGAATCAAAAAATTGAAAATCAGATGCAAGCACGAGCTGATTTATGCACTTGAAAACCAGGTACACCTCAAATGACAGAGGAAGCAATGTGTAGTTGCTGAGACTGACAGAGGCAACCCAAGAGGCCAGATTTTCTCACTTTAATCATAGAAAGACCAACAACTTTATTTCAAAGGCTAACATTTGCTCTAAAGAAATTTATGAAAAGAAAAAGCTAAATATTCCAAACTAAACACATTATTGTATTACATTTAATTTATATCTTAGCCACAAAAGCCTACGAAAATGTAATACTATTAAAAAATGATGGTGTAAAGCCACTTAACTAACTGATATATATATATATATATATTACAATTCTTTAAGTTGAACGATGTGGATAAATTCCACTTACAGCTCATTAAGTATGATGTTTAGATTCACAGCTATAAAATGTAAATATAAGGAATATAACTTCCCATTATAATAGTTTTATAGAAAAGTTTTATAGAAATACTGTACTATTATTTTGACATGTAGCATCTTTTTCCAGAAAAAAAACAACAAAACAGCACCTTTAGAGTTCAAGAGCCACGGTATATTAAATTACAGCATTAATAAATTATTGTAAATACCTACAATGATTAAACCAGAATAGGTAAGACTGTCGGTATGTCTCATGCCACCAATGCTACCCTGGTGTAAGTTCAAAGTCATTAAGATATAGTCTTACAAACTTCTAGTCAACTGATTTAACAAAAGTTATAACTTCTTTGGTGACATTTCTCTCTCTGCAACTCCCCAGAGAAAAGGAATTTCTCCTCAGAAAATAATACTTTGAAACAAAATCGAATCATACCTTAATATACAGTTAATTGGAAAACCAATGTCCAAGGCATGTATACTCCTTAAGTCTATTGAAAAGCAAAAATGATGTGATGTTGCTGGAACAGCAATCTTCTTTCCTGAAGCTGTTTCTGAAGCATTGGATGTAGTCACTGGCTGGGCCAGTGAAGCAGGTACAGAAGCATTGGCTAAAATAAACATAAAATTTAAAAAAAAAAAAAAAATCCACTAGCTAACAGTTTTTTTAAGTTGTTCAGATAGTTTAAAGCTATTGTCTCAATTACTTTCAAGACTATTTTTTTTTAATGAACATATAAAGTGAGGCATAAACATTTTAAAGATGGCTTGCCCAAAATTACCTACACTTTAATTCCCATTCTAGAATTACATAGAGAAAGAGCTACTCTCAACACACTGCAAAACATAAAAACATACAGAACCAATAGAATGTATGACTACAGCCTAGCAGGCACTAACATTTCCAAGAGGTAGCTGCACATAACTCAGTATTTGAAGGGTTGTATTTGAGACTTATTGAGATATAATGACATCACTTTTTAAAAAGCAGTTTTGGTTATTTTAGGCACATATAAAATAGTCTTACAAAAAGCTAAAACATGAAGACAGAGATATCTAGTCCAACCCTATTACAGACCAGAGATATTCAGTGAGTGGCCCAAGTTGTACAGCTACTCAGTGACAGATATAATTTGCACCCAAGACTTCTAAATCCTCATCCACCACTAATTACTTCTATCACTAGCTATAACCAGAGACCCTTATGCAACGAATATAAGAATTTTATAAAACTAGGTAAACATGCATTCTTAGACACTCTCTTAACTTTAGGATCAAAAAAGATTATTATGTGTTTAAGAGGCAGTTAATAGCTCTTTTCTCTAAACTAATGAATTCAAGATATTCAAGAGTGGAACAGTTTAAAAATCTATTTGAAAGAACCATATTCTTTAATTTCTTTTGAGTAGGCTATGAGGGTACTTCAAAAAACTTGTGGAAAAACAGAAGTGAAAGATAATACAAATCTTTCCATGAACTTTTTGAAGTACCCTCGTGAAATACCAGTGTGAAAGTGGAAAATAAAAAATTATCTTACCTTAATTCAGCAAATCTATTATAAAGTTAGACTGAAATAACTTTAAATTGAAATTTTTTATATCGCCACACATTATGCTTCTTAAAAAAACTCCATAATTTTTACCTACAACTCATAAAAGCTCTCAGTCATTTATTTGATGGCTACAAAACCCAATACCTAAAAGGTCTGTAAAAAGAACATCTTACCCTTTGGATTTGGTTTTGCGTCCTTATCATACTGTAAGCTTTCTACTTCACTTCCTGTTGCATCATCTTTTGTAGGAGGTGACTGGTTGTGAGGTGGAACAGGGGACACGCTTGGTGATTCGGGCCCAGTAAGTGTCTTCTCCTTTATGGGGGTTAAAACCCTCTTCTTTGAATGCTCTGGTTCATGTTCATTCTGGGTCTTTAATTCAATTAAAGACTAAAAACAATTTTTAAATAAAGTACAATTTGCAAAGAACTTTCCTTCACAATTAAGCAAAAAACTTGGTGATTTTTTTAAAAAAAAATAAGCTTCCTCTCCCAGTTTGGATATTCCTAGTCTATATTTCTTCATAATTTGCAAATTGCCTTATAGCATCTAGGACCAGAAAAAGGAAGATGAACAGGAAGGAAATATGATATCCAGAGCTGAGCACCAAAATGTATCCTAATGGGTAAGAAGGGATATTCAAAAAAAGAAGTCAGGCATAGGTGGTCCCTGAAAATGGTTATTCCTACCAAGGCAGTACAATGAACGACTATATCCCTAAAAAGAAAAAACAGATATCTAGTGTGATTTTCTTTCTCTCCTTTACTCCACTCCCCTCTAAAAATATATGCATATATATCTTTTAAATATTCACTTCAGTCTTTCTGTCTTCAATTCACAATCTATATAAATTATCAATTCTTTAAAAAAACAACATGTTAAAAGTTTATTGTGTCTCACAGATACAAACATTCAAATACATGCCTATTTGTTGTAAAAACTGCATACAGAGAGGACGAGGACTACAAAACACTAATGAACCAAGAATTTTATTTAAGCTCAGGTTGTGTCAACCAAAAAGGTACCATTAATGAAGATTCCCAGAAACTCGGTCCAAAAATGTTCTCATTTCCTGGAGTTCTTTTTTTGCCATAGTCTTTGACTATGAATTGGGGGTTGGGGAAAATGGTTTCCACCAAATGAGAAAACTGTCCCAAAGGCTAAGAGGGCTCTGGGTACAGTCACCTATAAATTGGAATAGTGGAAGCCACAGCACCTTTCAGAAAGGGCTTTTCAGAAAGAAGATATCAGGGAATATAGACCACTAATTAAGAATAATAAATATATTCTTATGCCAGGTAATAACCTTTGTGAATAACCATGAGTGACACTGGAGAAGCTGGTGGAATGAAAGGAAGACCACTACTTGCCTGGGAGTCTATGCCTTCTCTCTGCAGAACAACAGACACTCCCACAGTTGGGGCTAGCTCCACAGGAATAGGTGCAAGCTTTTGTTTGGCTCGGTTTGGAGGGTCAAGGGTAAAAGCACCCTCAACTGTGACTGGGCGCTGGTTGATTTCTGTACTGCCCTTTTTCAGTAATCCGGTTAAAGGTATTTCCGTACTTCCAAGTGACTGATCACCACAGCACAGATGGATCTAATATAAAAGGGAAAATTAAAACAGAGCTTTATGCTTTCTCCTCTCTCCTAAATACTGTAAACTTAACAAAAAGTTATAAAATGATTCACAGGGGCCGAGCCCGTGGCGCTCTCGGGAGAGTGCGGCGCTGGGAGCGCAGCAGCGCTCCCGCCATGGGTTCGGATCCTATATAGGGATGACCGGTACACTCGCAGCGCTCACTGGCTGAGCGCGGTGCGGCCGGTCTCAAAAAGGACAAAAAAAAAAAATGATTCACAGAAGGAAAGTATAATGCAGGTTACCTCATTGATCTACAGTGACTAACGAATTCTCACACGATTGTTAAAACGTGATAAAACACAAAGTTTACTAATAATTCAGTGACAGCTATTACCTCTTTTTCATTCCTTCTTTTAGCACTGTATAATCATGTTATCATCCCTTTCTCTCTTTGGTCAGCTATGATTAATGTTTCACTATGCTACTTTACATATGCAAATTGTATAATAAAATAACAAAAGCATGAATTTAAATAGAAAACAAATACCTCAAACATCTTTTCTATCTCCATTTTAACAATAATTTAGTCAGTTTTAAAAAATAAGTCAGTGGATCATTCCAGACTTGGAATTTAAAAACCCCAAATAATTTTGTTTTATTCACCCATAAAACACCATTTCTCTTTTTTCTTGCTCTTCAGACTTTGTATATAAAACAGAGTGCTTAAGAGGTAGAAGAATACCTCTGGAATAAAATGTACTGGTAATCACTGATAGCTAATCAAAAGTTCAACATTACCACTTTTTGACAGCTATAAAAAAAAATAGACTGTTCCGGGTTATATAACTATCCTTTTCCCTTACTATATATTGAAGCCTTGGCAAACTTAGTACTCATATGAACAATAAGCAATCGCTATATAAACATATTTCTCTCTAAGATCAGCAGTGACAGAGTGAAGAAAGACCTGCAACTTAGTCTTAATGTTATTAGGCGTGATATTTGTATGGGCTGAAGAGAAAGTATTTTTGTGACTTAAATGTCCTCCATTAGAAACAAACTAATAAATAAGTCAACACTTTTAGTTAGGGCTGATATGTTAATATGGAATAAAATTCAAACTGCTTTTTCCTGCATTTCATCATTTTATATAGTCTTCAGTTTTCCAAATATCATGGGTTTAGCAGATCCATCTCTAAAATTTAGTTGCACTAAAATTTCTTAACACCTCTTCACACCTCCTGGCCAGAATGCAAGCAAAGTCTAATGACAGATATTACTTTAAATAAATGACTGTCTAACCTTATATTCTATCATCCCATTTCAGTATGACCAAAAGCAATGGTCGTAAAAGACAGAAGGGTGATTTTCACTAGGTGAGGTTCACTTTTAAAGACAGTCCAACTTAAAAAGAGTTTACAAAAAACACTCAAGGGCAGATTTTAGAAAGCTGTCTTTATCTCTTTGCTTTGATCTCTGAGCCTACACCTACCATCTCCATCAACAATAATAAAACCTTGCCTGTACCCACAGATCTATGTACAATTTTTTATTAGCACTGATAACTGATATACCTCTTTTCTCCATAACCGGGTAAGGAGGTGTTATCTCCTAAAATTCTGAAGTAATTGTAATGCCAATGACTTCATGACTCAGGATAATAACCAAAAAACCGAAAGATGTGGTAGAAAGATGACCTCCACTATTGAACTAAACAGTTTAGCTTAGGTACTACACTAGTGCTTAAAAAATCACCTTCTGTAAAAAACAATTTGCTGTAGTACTCACCTGCAGTTTAGAATGAAGAGCAAGGTAAAAATGAAGAATTTCTATACTGCTCCGTATACGAACAGACGCTCTCTCTGGTTCAAAGTTTGGGTTCATCAAATCACTGAAGGGTTCATTTGTAACATCATTTCCCAGTAAAGAATAGTAAAAGAAAAACTCAGGCTGTCTTTCTGGAAGTTTCATGGTACACGGAATTAACTAAATATTTAAGGAAAAAGAAAAGAGTATTACTCGCTAAACCACTAAACATGCTAAGTATGTTTGTTGTACTCCAAAAATATTTGCTGAAATGCTGATTTTTTTATCTGAAGTCTTAAAATTAACCACTCAAAATTTCTAAATTTCTGCCAAATTACTAGTTTAATTTTTTAAAGAGTTGTCTTAGAAAAGCAAAAAGAGACTAAAAGACTTTTTATAGACTTACATTGGTTTAAAGTTTTCATTTCATTCAACTGGTCCATGAATAAATACGTGAAAATTCTTTTTAGAAGAGTCAAATATTTTAAGCTGAGCTTTTCTTTTTTTTCATATACTTTATTTCATCTTATCTTTACTCCATCATCAAAGGCTTGACTTTACAAATGAGAAATGTTTTGAAAAAATCTTAATCCAGGCTATTTAAGACATAACATCTTAGTCTAGGACACCGGCTAAAAAAAGTTTTTAGTTACTCTGTCAAAAGTTAGAGACCTGTGAATTAACAGCTACAAAAGAATGCCTTCTGTACTAGGAGTGTTACTTCTCAGAGCTGCTAGTTTCATGGCCACATCAGACTAACAGATGGGATTCTTGTCCTACAAAATATAAATATCTTCTAACAGACAATGTTCACTAGAACATTGTTAAACAATGAATTATAAACATTTAATGTACTCATCAATAGGAGATTGCTTAAATATAGTTAGCTATCATATAGTATGGCTGCTAAATAATGATATATTGACATGAAAGTTATCTAAGACATACTATTGGTTAAAATAAGTTACAGGATAGTTTGCATAGTTTGTGAAAATAAAAGTACTAACCACTTAGATTATAACAACACAGTACCAAAAACATAACATTCAATAAACTTATTATTTTAATCCTACGCTTCAAAATGTATCTATGTTTGAGTAGATTTTCATCATGAATATTTATATATATATCAAGAGAACACCTATACACCTATAATTGTTAAGAGCACAAATTCTGGAGCAGACCCCAACCCCAACCCTGGTTCCATCAACGATTTGCTGTGAAAACTTGCAAAAATTACTTAATCACTCTGTGCCTCCATTTCTTTTAGGGATGTTGGAAGGATTAAGAGATAATACATATTCAATGCTGCAACAGTGCCTAGTACACAGCTGTTGTTACGTGAGAGTAGAATATCTAGAGAAAAACACACTACCCTTAACAGTGATTATTTCAGAGGAGTTTAATTAGAGCAGACTTTCATTTACTTTCTTCCATGACTAGAAAGCAATACAAATGTTAAAAAGTAAAGATGACCCATATATCTTCCATAGTACATTTAATTCTAAAATAATTCTCACACTGGAAAGAGATTCTTTTAAACATTTTTTTATTATCCTAGAATTTAGAGAGTATGATTTTTCCTTTTTTACCCTTAACTTTCAATATTCAAGGAAAAGGGCTGGCTGGTTGCTCAATTGGTTAGAGCATAGCCTTATAACACCAAAGTCACAGGTTTGGATCCCTCTATTGTTCAGCCACCTCCCATGCCACCCCCAAAAAAATGTAAGGAAAGGAACCAAGATTATCACTGTCTAGTCTTCTTGCTCCACACTCATTCTTCCATTTTATTATAACTTTACAGTAAAATGCCCTATGTCACTGATTTGCATCTGAAAAGTATGTTTGCAAGTGTGTTTATTGCTACATGCTTTCTTATATTGCCTTTGACTAGGCTGAAAAGAAAAAACTAAGTAGCTAGTTAGTTTCACCCCATACACAATATAATATTTTTCAAACTAATTTTTAAAAGTAAAGAAGTCTTGCAAATCTTTTAATACATAAGAGGTAGGATTTAGAAAATAAAATGTCTCAAATTCTTTGTGAATCACTAATCTCAGAGAAAGTCTCACCTGCTCCAACTGGGTGGCGAATGCTATGGTCACTGACATAATGAAGGACTCAGTACAATACTCTGCTGGTCCAATCTGATGATAGCCTCCCTCCTCATTCAGTACTACCACAATGTCCTTGGGGTCAAGTCCAGACAGGCTGGCAGGTACTTTACAGAGAAAAACACAATTAAACAACATTGTACTTTGCCATATATAACTATAAGATTTTAAAAACTTATTACATTTTTAATTTGGTTAACAATTTTCATGAATACAGCTAATATCGCAAGACTTCCTTTAATTTCTTAAACACCAAAATAAAAAACACACAAAAAATGTATTTAACCACCATTTTCTTTCTGTACATAAAGGCCAAGTATTCTGAAATAACATTTTAAAAACTTCCATTTTATAAACCACATAGAAAAGGCATCTTGTTAGGTTTCCTAATGAATCTAAACTGGGAAGTAAAAAATAAGCTAGATTTGGCTAAGAAAAGAAGGGTGATTGAACAGAGAATGTGGGCGTGAAAAAAGAGTGTTCTAGACAAAAGGAACAGTATGTACAATGACACAGAAGAGAAAGCATGTGGTTAGATAACTGAAACAGGTGTGGTGTGCTGGATCACAGAGTGAGGACTGACATATAGAAAGAGGTGAGACTGGAGAGATAAGCAGAGGCCACATCATAAAGGGTCTTCTTGAATGCTATGCTGAAACATTTGGATAGTTTTCTAAGAAAAAGGGAAAACCATGAAACAATTTTGAGAAGAAAACTGATTTAATCAAACAGGCTTCAGTATGTACAGACTGGAGAGGGCCAAGAGTTTTTCATACAGATTAAAAAAGAAAACCACACACAACTAAAATAACAGATAATATCCTGTGTTGGGGAGATTGCAGGAAAGTGGACACTCTCAATGATGGTAAGTATACACTAGTACAACCTACTGGAGGGTAATGTATCATGGCTTATCAAAATATAATATGTGTATACCCTATAAACAAACAATTCCCATTCTAGGAGTTAATCGTAAAGAGATGTGCTTACTGTAGCACAGTCTGAAAATAGTATAATGGTGAAGAACACAGGTATTTGAGTCACACAGACCAAGGTTCCAATCCCAGTTCTGTCATTTACTAGTTGCAAAGGGAAACTATATGATCTCCTTTACACTCCATTTTTACTTCTGCAAAGCTTTCATATGGTTGTTGAAAGATGAAATTAAATAATGAAAGCAAAGAACTTAGCACAGTATCCAACACATTAAGCCCCTTAATAAAGGTAGCCATTACGTAGTAAGGCCAGCAGAGCTTGGAAGTTAAAGTAATAACTATGACAGTTTCTCACTGCCAGGGAAGAAAGATGCAAATATGGAAAGGGAGGAAACTACAATAAACCTTGTGTTGTAGGATTGGGACTGAAGGTGTTAATGTGAATTCATGCTGTTCAATATAAATGGATAAATACAGATGAAAAGGTATATATGTGCTTTGGTTTCAATGTGTCCCCTCCAAAATTCAGGTGTTGAAATTTAATGACCAATGTGATGGCATTAAGAGATGGGACCTTTAAGAGATGATTAGGTCATGAGGGGCCCTCCCTCATGAATGGGATTAGGTACCCTTATGAATCTGTTTGATGGAGGTAGTTTATCCCTTGTCTTTTGGCCTTCTGCCATGTGAGAACACATCAAGAAGGCCCTCACAGATGCCAGTGCCTTGATCTTGGACTTCCAGCCTCCAGAACTGTGAGAAATAAATTTCTGTTCTTTATAAATTATCCAGTCTGTGGTACTGTTATAGCAGCACAAAACAAAGGCAAAATGTGTATATACAAATGTATGTACATATATGTATATGTATGCATACATACATGCACAGATACCCTAAGTCTGTCTACTAAATGGGTCTGGGGGCAATGACACCCCAATATCAACTGGCATACCTAGCTCCTGGATCTTGACTTCTAAATATCATTCTTTACTAAAAGGCAACAAGGCTCATAGAGAAATGGCTAAATCCTGGGTGGAGAAAGGGAAAGTACAAGATGAACCTGGAACATCTTCCTGTGCCACAAAAAATAAAAAGCCAAAGAATTTTGGAAGCAGTCAAAAGAAAACAGAAGTAGTATGTAGGGACTGCCCAAATCTGGAACAAACAGATGAGGATAATTAAAGACTGTAAAACACTAAATAAAAAGAGAAAACTATAAATCTTAATTTCACAATTCTGCCCCACAAAAAATTAACCACAAAGGAAAAAAGAGTTAAGTTTACAGTTGAGAATATCAACACACACCACCTTATCAAGTAATCGACCATGAGTAATGGGACAAATCAAAATTGTGTACCACCTGATAGGATGCAGTGATAAGAACATGGCATCATTTCTGTGATATTCCTACGAAAGATGCATAACCTAAATTTAAAATCAGACAAATCCAAGTAAAGGGATGTTCTAGAAATTAACTGGCCTATAATCTTCAAAATTTCCAGTTCAGGAAAAGATCAAGGAACTACTGCAGACTACAGTAGAATACACAGACATGACAATTAATGTACTATAAGATTCTAAACTAAATCCTTTTCCTATAAAGCACATAATTGGGACAACTGGTAAAACGTGAATGGAATTAAATGGTAGTAATGTATCAATATTTCATTAATGTTGTAAGGTTACATGTGTTAATGTACCAATGTGAATTTCCCAGAGTTGATGGATACATCATGGTTATATAGATTGTTCTAATAAACACTCAAATATTCACGTACATAGGGTAGCAAACTCCTCTCAAATGGTTCAGGGAAAAACATGCTTCTTTAAAACATACTCCAACTTTTCTGTAAGTTTGAGATTGTTTCACAATGGAAAAAAAATTATTAAAAAATTTTTTTCACTGAGAAGAAAAATAATAAAGGCTCTAGAATCTGACTTCTAGATTTTTATCCTGGCTTCACTACTTACAACTTAATGTATTTTGCAAATCACATCTCTGAAATTCAGTTTTCCCATCTTTTGAGTTTATGATGCCTGTAAGCCATCCAAATAAGATGTCCAGGAGGCAGGTGATATTTGGGTCTGAAGGCCTGGGTAGGGGTCTTCAGCACACAAAGAGTATGACTGATACCTGGGAAATACATAAGACTGAATAGAAAGAGTATGTATAGAAGGAAAAGAAATTTCTTTTATAAAGGTAGGGAAAAGGAAGAAAAGCCCAAAAAGAGGTTAAGAAAAACTGGTCAGAGAAATTGAAGTAGAAACACTTGTTAAAATACTGAACTATAATTTCTATCATTTCAATCCCAAAAGCAATACCTAACTCATAATTAAATTCTGGGGACAACTATTTATAAATTCACTGCTCTGAACTAAGAATACATGTGCCCATATCATGTTACTAAGGTTAATTGTACATGTAAGTCTAGGACATTCCATATGACATAACTGAAGCAAACTAGAATACCAGTTGTACTATTTCAGTTTCACTATTTGCTTCTCTTTCTTTCCAGAAGAAACTTATCCTCATCCTCCACAGAAAAGACAGATTAGACAAGAGGCATAATTACAAAATATAGACTAAGAAAGGACTTTAGAGACCACCTCATCCAATTCCATCATTTTACCTAAAAGGAAATTAAGAGTGAAAAACACTTAAATGACTGATGTTGAACGTTTTTTCATGTGCCTGTTGGCCATCTGTATGTTTTCTGGGAAATGCTAGTTCAGGTCCTTTCTTCATTTTGAATGGGGTTATTTGGTTCTTTTACTGTTGAGTTGTTTTGGGTTCCTTATATATTCTGGATATTAGCCCCTTGTCTGATGTGTAGTTTGCAAACACTTTTTCCTATTCTATAGATTGTCTCTTCACTTGTGTTGATTGTATCCTTTGCTATGCAGAAGCTTTTTAGTTTGATGTAGTACCATTTGTGTATTTTTGCTTTAGCTGCCTGTGCTGCCCAATTCAATTTCATATAGTGTCTTTCCTATGTTTTTTTCTAGTGGTTTCATAGTTTTGGGTCTTAAGTTTAGATCTTTATTCTGAGTTGATTTTGTGTATGGTGAGAGACAAGGGTCTAATTTCATCCTTCGGCATTTGAATACCCAGTTGTCCCAGCACTATTTGTTGAAGAGGCTGTCCTTTCCCCACTGTATATTCTTGGCATTTCTGTCAAAAGTCAGTTGGCTATAAATGCATGGATTTTGAGTTTGGGGCTCTCTATTCTGTTCCATTGGTCTAATTGTTTTTATGTAAGTACCATGCTGTTTTGGTTACTATCACCTTATAGTATATTTTGAGGTCAGGTAGTGTGATGCCTTCAGCTTTATTCTTTTTCTTCAAGTCTGCTTTGGCTATACAGTCTTCTGTGATATCATACAAACCTTAAGACAGTTTTTTTCTACTTTGTGAACACTGTCAATGGCACTTTGATAGGGACTGTATTCAATCTGTAGCTTTGGGTAATATGGATATTTTGGTGATATTATTTATTCCAACTCATAAACACAGAATCTCTTTCCATTTATTTGTGTCTTCTCCAATTTTTTTCACCAAATATTTTATCATTTTTATTGTAGAGACCTTTTGCCTCCTTGGTTAAACATACTCCTAGATATTTCATTTTTGGGGGTTTACTTGATTTCTTCTCCAGATATCTTGTTATTGGTGTATAGGAACACTACTGATTTTTATATGTTGATTTTATATCCTGCCACCTTACTGAATTTGTTTACAGTTCTAGCAATTCTGGGGTAGAGTCTTTAGAGTTTTCTATGTATAGAATCATGTTATCAACAAATAGGAATAGTTTGACTTCCTGCCTTTTACTGCTTTCTCTTGCCTTACTGCACAGTCTAGAACTTCCAGTACTATGCTGAATAAGAGCAGGAAAAGTGGGCATCTTTGTCTTGTTCCAGATCTTAGAGGAAAAGTCTCCCATTTTTGTCCATTCAGTATGATATTAACTGTCAGTTTGTCATACATGGCCTTTATTGTTTTTAGATACAGTCCTCTATACCTAATTTGTTGAGTGTCTTTATCATGATGGGGTGTTGGATTTTATCAAATACTTTTTCTGCATCTATTGAAATGATCACGGTTTTTCCCCTTCATTCTGTTGACATGATGTATTATATTTATTGATTTGCTTATGTTGAACCATCCTGGG